TCCTTAGTAGGCCCGTCCCATCTCACTCCCCCGTTTCCGCCGAATGCAGAGGAGGCGCAGGACGGCGCCGAAACTGCCACCCCACGGACCCTTCTCAGGGTCCCGACCAGCAGATCTTGGGTCAACTCCGCTGTGGCTGCGAGGACAGCCCGTTGCGATCTCACCATCGAACCTTCATTCTAGAGAAGACGCAGAAAGCGCAGAAACCCAAACTTTCATGTGACAGAAACGCGTCCTGACTAGCAATCTCGGAACAACACCAGCCGTGGCTGCGAGGAGCAGGCAGAGGCATCGGCACCCTTCCCCCGCGCCATCAGCAGCAGCGAAGTATCGTTCGAAACAGGCACGGGCAGATCCTCCTCGTCTTTGTCGCCCTCCTCCTTCGCAATCACCTGCAAAACCTCTCCAGCATGCGCGTTGAGAAAGCTGGCAAAGTTCTGGGCCCCTTCCCGAACACAACTGATTCGGGCCCATCCGCTCGTAAACGGCCCCGATTGTGCGCAAACCGTGAACCAGGTTACCGCCTGGAACCTCGTAGAGCTCCTTGCACGCATAAGAGTGCTCTCAATGCAGACAGAGAGCTCCCTGAAGCATTGGCCTGAAAACTAGAGATTTTTTTGGGTTTAATTAACACAGCGGAATGGGGCGGGTCTGGGTTCCTGGGTACACATCACTACACCAGGATCCAGTATGCGAAGTTCTGCCAACGCGCGAGGGACGCGGTGCCCGTCTCCGCGCCATTGTCCCGCTTCTCCCCGCGCTCCCCGTCCTCCGCTACTACTGCCTTCGGCGAAACTCCCTACTTGGCCTCGAAACGCTTGAGGGATGTGCTGACATGATTGCGGTGGCGCCATGCGAACCATGCCACATGGGCTTTGAGCGGAGCTCCCATTGGGGCCACGGAACGTGTGATGGGTGTGCCGACATGGGTGCGGTGGCGCCATGCGAACCCAACCAATCAGGCTCTTGCGCGGGGCTCGCCATGGGTCGGGGGCGCGCAAACATGGATTAGGGATCCATGGATTTGGCGCGCGATCGCGAAATCCATGGATCCTGGGATGCGCCCTGCGGCAGATGCTACCCCGTTCGGCAGTGGAAATCTGCGATCGCCAATGAAACCGGATCCGTCTCTAATCCACGCCCCTTTGATCCATGTTTGCGATCGCCTGAATAGGGCCACGAATTGTGTTAGAAGGATTGCCGACATGGGTGCGGTCAGGCACATGCGAACCATGCCACTGTGGAATTCGGTGGAGGTCCCTATGGGGCCTCGAACCGTGTGATGGGTATGCCGAAGCGATCGCGGTAGCGCCATGCGAACCCTGCCACTGGGGCCTTCGGCGGCCAGAATAAGTGCGGTCGGCGGTAGCGCCATGTGAGCCCTGCCACGAAGGCCTTTGATGATGCTGCACATGGGGCCACCAAACGTGAGAGAGGTGCGCCGAAATGAGCGCAACGGCGCCGTGCGAAGTCCAGCCGGTCGATTTCTTCCAGTCGACCCCTGCCAGAGGACTTCTTCCGAACGGCTTCTTCCGGGCGACTTCTCCCAGGCGATTTCTTCCCGGCAACGTATTCCGAGCGACGGCTTCCGGGCGACTTCTTCCTGGCGAGTTTTTCCAGGCGACTTCTTCTGGGCGAGTTTTTCCAGGCGATTTCTTCTGGGCGACTTCTTCTGGGCGACTTCTTCCGAGGCGACTTCTCCCAGGGGAGGTCTTCTGGGCCATTCCTTCCGAACCACTTCTTCCTTCTCTGTCATCGTTGCCCCTTCTCCCCCGTCTCTGCCGCGCCGATCTCTGGAGAAAAACCAGTCTCGACAACTTCTTCTGGACGGCTTCCTCCGGGCGACTTCTTCCCGACCACTTCTTCCGAATACGATTTCTTCCGCGACGACTTCTTCTGGGCGACTCCTTCTTGACCACTTCTTCTGCGCGACTTTTTCCAGGGGGGGGGGTTTTCCTGGGGGAAGTCGTCGCGGAAGAAGTCGTCGCGGAAAAAGTCGTCATTTTCTTTCGGTGGAGCACCCTATGGGGTCACGATCCGTGTGAGGGCTGTGCCGAACTTGTGCCAATGCGGGGATCAAAGTCACGATGCTGTCGATGCGTAGGGCAATGAGGCCTGCGGTTGGGCCCCCTATGGAGCGACGGAGCGCGTGGGGGTGGGCCAAAGCAGCGACGTGCGGACGGCAGAGGCAGGGATGGGAGGAGAGGAATGGGAGATCAAGGGTGGTCATGTTGCTAGCATTTGTCACGGTGATGATGTTGATGTTGATGATGATGGTGGTGCTCATTATGCTGATGTTGATAATGATGTGGCTGATGGCGATACTAGCGGCGATGGCGGCACGCGGAGAGCAGAGGCAGGAATGGGAGGACGGAGAAGGGGTTCGAGGAGAGGAGAGGGGGAGGAGAGGAGATCCCAACTCCACAGGATGATTGGGAAATCATTTGAGTGCATGTATGTATGTGTGTGTGTGTGTGTTTGTGTTTGTGCGTGTGTGCGTGCGTGCGTGCGTGCGTGCGTGCGTGCATGTGTCTGTGTGTGCGTGTGTGTGTGTGTGTGTGTGTGTGCGTGTGCGTGTGCGTGTGCGTGTGTGTGTGTGTGCGTGTGTGTGTGCGCGTGTGTGTGTGTGTGTGTGTGTGTGTGTGTGTGTGTGTGTGTGTGTGTGTGTGTGTGTGTGTGTGTGTGTGTGTGCGCTTGTTTGTATGTGTCTTCCTCTTTCATCGTCCCTAGGTAGTTGCCCTCCCGTGCTACGTCCTCGTGCTACGTCCTCCCTTGGCCTGGCCACCGTAGGGCGGCGCGTCATTTCCCCGCCGTCCACGCCCGGGTAGTTTTGCTTCTCTTCACGCTCTCGCGCTACGTCCCTTTCATACCAATCTCTATTCAAGGACATGCCGCGCCCGAGCCGGCTCCGTTCTTGCTCCAGGTCGACGCTGCGAGTGAGGCCGTGACCGCGAAAGGGCGCGTATGTGTATGTTTGCGTGTGTGTGTTTGTGTGTGTGTGTGTGTGTGTGTGTGTGCGTGTTTATGTGACGCCCGATTTTTCCGTGTGTATATATATATATATATGTATATATGTAGATGCATGCATGTATTTATGTATATGTTGAGGGAAGCCGTAGATCGAACGGGTTCAAGCACGTTTAAACGAGAGCCTGATGCTGTACCCGTTCTGCAGCTTCTTTGGTACAAATGTTGTCATGCTAGCGGAGCTGGCCTCGGCCAGCTCCCGCTTGTCGCCCCCCTCGCGGCAGAGGGCGCTGGCCATTGCGCGAGCGGCCGCAGCCGGCGTGTGTGTGTGTGTGTTTCTATGTGTTTGTGTTCGTGCGTGTTCGTGCGTGCATGCATGTATGTGTGTGTGTGTGTGTGTGTGCGGGCGTGCGTGCGTGCGTGTGTGTGTGTGTGTGTGTGTGTGCTTGGTTGTGTGTGTCTTCCTCTTTCATCAACCCTAGGTAGTTGCCCTCGGCCTGGCCACCGTAGGGCGGCGCGTCATTTCCCCGCCGTCCACGCCCGGGTAGTTTTGCTTCTTTTCCACGCTCTCGCGCTACGTCCCTTTCATACCAATCTCAATTCAAGGACATGCCGCGCCCGAGCCGGCTCCGTTCTTGCTCCGCGTCGACGCTACGAGTGAGGCTGTGACCGCGAAAGATCGCGTATGTGTATGTTTGCGTGTGTGTGTGTGTGTGTGTGTGTGTGTGCGTGTTTGTGTCTCGCCCGATTTTTCAGTATATATGTAGATGCATGCATGCATGTATGCATGCATGCATACATATATGCATGTATTTATGTATATGTTGAGGGAAGCCGTAGATCGAACGGGTTCAAGCACGTTTAAACGAGAGCCTGATACTCTACCCGTTCCGCAGCTTCTTTGGTACAAATGTTGTCATGCTAGCGGAGCTGGCCTCGGCCAGCTCCCGCTTGCCGCCCCCCTCGCGGCAGAGGGCGCTGGCCATTGCGCGAGCGGCCGCAGCCGGCGTGTGTGTGTGTGTGTGTGTGTGTGTGTGTGTGTGTGTGTGTGTGTGTGTGTGTGTTTGTGTTCATGCGTGTTCGTGCGTGTTCGTGCGTGCGTGCGTGCATGTATGTGTGTGTGTGTGTGTGTGTGTGTGTGTGTGGGCGTGCGTACGTGTGTGTGTGTGTGTGTGCTTGGTTGTGTGTGTCTTCCTCTTTCATCGTCCCTAGGTAGTTGCCCTCCCGTGCTACGTCCTTGTGCTACGTCCTCCCTCGGCCTGGCCACCGTAGGGCGGCGCGTCATTTCCCCGCCGTCCACGCCCGGGTAGTTTTGCTTCTCTTCCACGCTCTCGCGCTACGTCCCTTTCATACCAATCTCAATTCAAGGACATGCCGCGCCCGAACCGGCTCCGTTCTTGCTCCAGGTCGACGCTACGAGTGAGGCTGTGACCGCGAAAGATCGCGTATGTGTATGTTTGCGTGTGTGTGTGTGTGTGTGTGTGCGTGCGTGTTTGTGTCTCGCCCGATTTTTCCGTATATATGTAGATGCATGCATGCATGTATGCATGCATGCATACATATATGCATGTATTTATGTATATGTTGAGGGAAGCCGTAGATCGAACGCGTTCAAGCACGTTTAAACGAGAGCCTGATACTCGACCCGTTCCGCAGCTTCTTTGGTACAAGTGTTGTCATGCTAGCGGAGCTGGCCTCGGCCAGCTCCCGCTTGCCGCCCCCCTCGCGGCAGAGGGCGCTGGCCATTGCGCGAGCGGGCGCAGCCGGCCAGCTGGGCGACGCATCGACGGCGAGAGGCGCGACGCGGCCAGCAGGGCCGAGACTGCGCAGTCGGAGGGCTTCGTGACCCTCGCAAGCGAGCATATGGGGCCTCCGGGTCCATAGGAGTACACGGTCGACAGGATCGACGAGATGACGGAGCCTGGCGCCGAGTGGCAGGGCGAAGGATTGAATCCGCCGACGTTCGCCAGCCAGGAGGAGAACTTGACGGAGTGGTCACTCGTGATGAGGGCGAGGCGCAGCATCCACCGGAGGCGGCCGAGCAGCGGGGCGATCCTGACATCAGCATGGCGGAGACACTGCGCAGGCTTGGCGCAGAGGGAGTCTCGGCCACCAAGAAGATGCGCTCATCGCTGGTCATGACTTTGAAGGGCAGCGCGCAGATGCTAATCAGAAGCGTGGAGGACCAGAACGGCGCGCTGGCGTGGCGCGGGGTTGCACCTCTTGGAGAGGTACGACCCCGCGACGGCCATGCGCGCGCAGAGCATCAAGTCTGCGATTCTCATCGCGATGTCATTCCCTTCAGACTTGTCGGGTTTCGGGCAGCGCCGCGCTGACTGGGGGCGGGGCGTCAGGTGTGCAACGCGGGCGTTAAGAAGAGCATCTGCCTGCGGATGGTGCCGAAGAGCATCCGCGCGGTGCTGCAGATGCAGAGCGAGAGGAGCTACGACGAGCTGGTCAGCACCCAGATCCAGTGCGTACAGGCGGCGACGGTGTGCGAGGACGGGTGCCAGCAGAAGTGGGCAGCGCCACAGAGATCAGGAGGGGGCGGCGGCAAAGGAGGACGCCCAACAGGAGCCATGGAGGTGGGCGCGCTGACGAGACCGTGCCCCAAAGGCCAGGGCAACAAGGGCGGCAAAAGCAAGGGCAAGGACGCCAAGGGCAAAGGCAAAGACCAGAAGAGGAAGGGCACGGATCCCATGGCGAGGGCAAGCGCCTCGCGACAGCCAGCATGGAGCATGGCGGGGGTGCCTGGGACAAGGCTGTGTTACAACTGCGGCTGGCGGGGACATTGCGCGAGCGGCTGTTGGCGCCGACAGGAGAGTCCGAATTTCGACAAGGGCAAGCACGAAGGCTGGACGGGCCAGAAGGGCGGAGTCAACAATATCACACTGGACGGCTGGAGTAACATCATCGCACCACCACCGAGTAGCCCAGCGCCGTCGACGGCAGGCCCATCAGGTAGTCAACCTTGAGTCCGAGCGATCACCGCGATAGACGAGTACACGTCGGAGTGGGTAAAGGGCTCCATCTGTGCAGTTACGAAGCACGAGACGCCAGAGGTGCAGGAGAGAGAGAGGGCTACAGCATGATGGGAGACGGACTGTGGCGCGCGTTCGTGATGCTAACGGACAACTGTGCGGGCGAGCTCGTGTGCGGTCTCAGGTACTTCCCGAATGTGGAGATCGCCTGGACGGAACCCCAACCTGACGGTCGCCGATGGCACCCCGCTGAAGCACTACGGCTCGAAGACGGTGACGCCCTACATAGCAGGCGGCAGGCGCGTCCATCATGGGATTCCAGGCCGCAGACGTGAAGCAGCCCATCATGCACGTGGACATGTTCTGCATCAGGAGGGAGAACGAAGTCGCATGGTACGACGGCAAGGGCGGCTTGCTCTTGCACGAGGCGGCAGGGCTGGCCAAGCCCACGAAGATAAAGAATCACTGCGCGCTGGAGTGTTGGGCCAATGTGTGCGACGACATGAAGGAGGTGCACGGGGGGATGACGCTACTGGCGCCGGTAAGGGCGGCGGCTGCAGCGGCGCGACCAAGGGGGGATAACGTAGACGGTGACTCAGTTCTACGAGCACTAGCAGGAGGGCCACGAGTGCCACCGCCAGGAGAGCAGCCGCAGCAGGTCCTATAACGAGGAGCGGCGGATGTACTGGCAGACGCACCTGCAGCAGGCCCAGTGGCGGTTCCTGATGATCGTGAGACCGTGGGGCCTGAGACAACGGCCAGCGGTCTACCTGGACCTCGGGGGCCGAGCGCTGAGGAGACCGAGATGCGCGCGCTGACGCACTACCCAGCAGAACCGTGGTGCGAGATCTGCGTTCAAGCGAGGACAAGCGACATAGCCCAGAAGAAGAAGGACAGGCGTGACGAGCTGATCCCCTTGCTGAGTTTCGATCACGGCCAGGCGGGCACCGAAGGGGGCCCCGTCAGCTTCGAGTTCGTCGTGGGCAGCGACGCAGTGACAGGGGGCATCTGGCGCACAGCTATCATCCAGAATGGTCGCGACGACGCCTGCGCAGTGGCATCAGCAGTTTCATTGATAGGCGAACTCGGACATGCGCGAGTGGAACTACACGCAGGAGGAGTTGCAGAGTTCTCGTTCGTCACAGCAATCAGGGCCGGGGCGATCAAGGATGGCATCTGCGAGACGATTCCCTGCGGCAGTCGGGAAGGTGCAACAGCCAGGCGAACGGCAGGGCCGAGATGGCCATGCAGACGGTGAGGGGGCAGGTGAGGACGCTGATGTTGCAGGTCAACAAGATGCTGACCCACGACCTTAAGCCCGACTTCCCGTTCCTCACGTGGCTGCCGAGGCACGCAGCGTGGCTTCACAACGGGTGCATGGTCAGGGAGGACACTGACCTCACACCCTAGGAGAAGACCCGCATGCTCGAGTACCAGAAGCCGATCGTGGCAGTCGGCGAGGCGGCGATCTGCAGGAGGCCAGGGGCGCAGGTCAACAAGCTGGAGCTTTCGTGGCTTGAGGGCATCTCGCTAGGACGCGGCGCGAGGACGGGCCAGCACCTGCCGACGCTGGGACAGGGAGCTGTTCGACAAGATGAAGTGGACGCCCTGGGGGCCGACGCCAACAACGAGAGGGGGGCCACCTGCGCAGAGGTCGCTGCAGGGGTCGATCCTACTCGGGCCGTTGCCGAAGTACCTGGGCCCAAGGGCAGCAGCGGCAGTGGCGGCGCCAGCAGCAGCCGCAGCCGCAGGAGCTCGAGGAGGGCCACAGCCCGCGCCTTCACGGCCGGCATCAGCTGCAGCGGCAGCAGCGGCAGCACCCTACGACGACGTGGGCATGGACAAGAGGCGGTGAGGAGGCAGGTCCGCCGACGCCGAGGGCGACGCTGCCGCAGCCAGAGGGCATTCCGTTGGCGGAGAGGAGCCCCAAGCGAGAAAGTGAAGGTGGCGAAGGAGGCGAAGGCGAGAAGTCCATGATCGGCACCATCCGGATGGTCAATGCGGTCAGGGAGATGTATGAGGCGCCGAAGTTGGAGGATGACGAGACGTATGCGCTGGATGGTGACTTCACAGAGGTAAGGAAGGAGCATTTGGAGAATATCGCAGGTGACGGTAAGCAGATCGTGAAGGTGGCCCCGATCAACGAGACGACGTCCAAGGTCCTGACGGGGAAGTGGGTCAACACCTACCCAGCGGACGGCAGCAAAAAGAGTCGGTGGACCACGGGGCGTCGAGCAGGAGGTGCGCGGGCATAAGAGCTGTGTTGCCACGACCCCCTCGCTTCCACGCCTGAAGGCGACGCTGGTCAACGCGGAGATGCGCGACCAAGTGGTGGCATTCGGAGACTGCAGCTGGGCTTGCTGCCAGGCGCCGCTCACCGAGGGCCGCGTCTTCCAGAAGCCACCGCCAGCAGCTGGAGTACCAGAAGGACATGTCTGGGATGCTCTGCGTGCACTTCCTGGTCCCATGAAGGGGGCCGAAGGCTTGGGGGGGCCACGGCGCGACGACCGTGGGGGAGGTGGAGATGGTCTGAGGTCGCTACGACGGGTGTCTCTTCATGAAGCTGAGCAACAAGAGGAAGGCAGGAAGGCGTGCCGACGACTTCCAGATCACAGGGCCACGCGACGAGGTCGACGAGCTGCTGGAGGTGATGGGCGAAAGGCTGAAGCTGCCAGAAGTGGTGAAGCTCGCCAAGACTGGGGGCCAGGCGACGTTCCTGAGCGTGCAGGTGGAGCATGTCGAGGGCGGCTGCGCGATCAGTGGCAAGACGAGCTTGATCTACGATGTCCTGAAGGAGCTGGGCCTGGATAGCGCCGGGCCAGCAGTGTTGCGCGAGACCAAGAACGAAGTGAACGTGGAGAACGACGTGGTGAAACGTGGCGCGGCTGGTCATATCCGCTACGGGGCGCGCGTGGGGAAGTTGCTGCCGTTGGCGAGCCACCGTCCCGACGTTCAACGTGGAGTTGGAGCTCTAAGCTGGGGCACGTCGGGGCTGACGGAGCGGGGCCTGGGGAGGTTGAAGAAGATGTCGCGGCGCCTGGCGGGCGCCCGCGACTGCGGGATGCAGCTGATTTCTGACAAGGGGGGCATTGCATGTCAGTGCTGGGTCGACGCCGACTGGGGGCGACGACGAGGCGGGCAGGCTCTCGACGAGCGGAGGTGTACTGCAGTACCACGGGCGCGTCATCCTGACGTGTTCGAGGCGCCAGGGCTGTGTGGCACTGAGATCGGTGGAGAGCCGGTTGTGCGCTCTAGTTTCAGGAGCGGCGGAAGTGCTTGGCCTGGCGTCGCTGCGCGAGGAGTGGCAAGAGAAGACAGTGCCGTGCGTGATGGGCGACAGCAGCAGCGCCTCGCATATAGTGAAGAAGCGGGGGCCAGGGAAGATGAAGCACGTGGAGATCCGCTTCCTGGCGCTGCAGCAGTGGGGAGAACAGGGCAGGCTCCGCTTCGGAAAGGTGAGCACCCGTGAGAAGCCGAGCGACATGATGACCAAGTCAATGCCGAGGGAGAAGCTGGGGGAATTCACGAGCATGGTCGGCTTGGCGCGCTCGTGGAGAGAGAGAGAGAGAGGCTTGAGCCCAGGCGGGCGAGAAAAGAAATGAATGAGGAGTTTGCCCGCGTGTGTAGAAGGATACCGTTTTTGAGGGACAAGGGGCCTCAGTGGCCTAGCGAACCCGGTTCCGTTTGAGAAGCTGTTTCGGATAGTGTTTCTTTCCGAGGTCTGGTAGCCTGGCACGCTGCCCGTTCCGCAGCCTCTTTGGTACACATGTTGTCCATATGTTTGTATATGTATATACATGTGTGCATCTATATATATACCTGTATGCATGTGTGCATGCATGAATGCATGCATGCATGCATGCATGCATGTATGTATGTATGTATGTATGTATGTATGTATGTATATATATGTGTGTATATATACATATATATATATATATAAACAAGTCCTCGGCACGAGTGAAATATGTCCAGTTGCGGGTGGCGCCTTGAAAAGCAAGTGATCCTGTGTTCAGCGCGTAGCTTGTTCTGCATAGGGGGGTGAGGGTTATCTGGATGCGAAGATCAGCTGTTCTCCAGAGTTTAGTTGCGCGTGTTTTTTTGTTTGCTTACTTGTCTTTGAAAGACGAGCAGGGGGGATCACGTCCCAGTGCCGGTCCGGACCGGTCAGTCCAATCCTGCAGCGGTCCGTGGCAGGTCGCCGTGACGAAGGAGGTTTAGTGGTCGAGGGCGGGTGGGTTTGATCTCCGTTCCTTGGAAAACGGGGGGGGGTCGTTGACGATGGTGAGGATGCTGATCTGGTCTGTTTTCGTTCAAAGAACATTGGTGGCAGGATGCGCTTGTCTTTTCTCTGACCACGCGGCCGATGATCGGGTCGAGCATGACGCTGCGTTCGTCCGCGTTTCGTTTCGTTTCGTATGGTCTATTTGGAGGTGGTGCCTCAGCCCCCTCGTCCTCGTCCTCGCTCCTCGTCCTCGTGCCTTCTCTTTCCTCGTCCTCCTCAGTTCTCCCTCTTGCCTTTTCCCTCCTCCTTCCTCCCTCTTTTGCCTCTTCCCCTCCTCCTCCTCCTCCTCCTCCTCCTCCTTCTCCTCCCTCCTCCCTTCCCCCCTCTGCGTCCAACGCCCTCAGCGGCCAGCGCCGTTGCGGACGCCTCCCCCCCGCGATGCTCCGCGGGGCGCTGCTGGAGGACCCGCACGCAAGCGGCGTGCTGCTGCAAAATGGCGGCGTGCAGGTGGCACCACGGGGCGGGGCGGCGTGGAGGACGGGCGGGGCTCGCGAGGGTCGATTTGCAGATATGGAAGCGCCACGGGTGCTGCATGGGCTTGCCTCTCGCAGGTTGCCTTCTCCTCTCGTGGTTCGCACCGCGACCTTCCGATGCGCGCGAGCACTGCTGCATCCTCGAGTCGAGCAGGGACGGCCGCGCGAGAGACTCTAAGCGAATATGGATTCAGGCGCGTCCAGCGATGGGGCCGGTTCCCGTGCACAATGGGCGGTCTTTGGTGCCAGGTGAGACGGCCCCGGCTTCATCTGTTTGGGAGGGTGTTCTCCCTGAGCCGTGGATCTGGCGCCCAGGCGCCAGACACACGGGCACCTAATCTTAAGTCAGGCATCTCCCTGTGCACGGAGACTGTTAAAGAATAGTCAAAACATAGAATGGGGACGATTTCGAGCATTTTTCGAGCGTTTTTGATTTTTTTGTGGTCGAGTATTTTTCGAGCATTTGACTATTCTGGTTCATTTTCGAGGATTTGTCGACTCTTGCTTACATTTTTTCCTCCAAAATTCGCCTGTAGGGGGACATGCCCGACCTAAACCTAATCCATGTCAGCGTGTGCCGTAGAAGGGTCAGCGTCGACGACGGCGTCGCTGTCCTGGAGTTTCCTCTTGTGCGTTCGGGAGCTCTTCGCCGCCAGTGCTGGACGCGTCTCGGATAGCCGGCCCATACAGAGGTGGCCCATCTTGAGCGGATTTCGGGCGGGGGCGGGCACACGTCGCCGTCCTCCCCAGACGTCCTCGGATTTGTTTTCCAATCCGCGGCCTCAGAGCTCCCGACCCTTCCCTTGGGGGTCGTTTTTTGTTCCAGATAATAGCATCGTCCATGGCCCTGGGCCCGGCCCGATAATAGGCCCCAGAGGCCGACGGAGATCTCCTCCCCTTCTCGTCCTCCCAGAGGAGGCGCAGCAGTCAGGAGTTTGTGCCTTCTCTTGCCGTAAAGTCGAGCTCCTGATCAGATGGCGCGGTGCGCTTGGGCACCTGGCAGGGCCGCCGCCCAGATGGAGGGGAGAGACCACCGCCGCGTCCGCCGTCACGCCGCGTCCGCCGCCTCCTTCTCCTTCTCGTCGCCGTCGTCCTTCTCCTCTCCCTCCTTCTCCTCCTCTCCCTCCTCCTCCTTCCCCTCGTCTTTCTCCTCCTCCTCCTCCTTCTCGTCCTCCTCCTTGGGGGGTCTTCTCTTCTTCTTTGTACACCTCTTTCTCTTCTTCCTTTTTCCTCCTCCCTCTTTCTTCTCTGTCCTCCTCCTCCTCCTCGTCCTCTCCGATCTCCGAGTTTTGTGCCAAGCCCCAACGGTGGCGGAGGTGGGCCGTTGACAGCGCGAGCGCAGGGCTGGGGCCAAGTGGGGCTGGCCTCTCAGCAGGCAGGGGGGGCCCTCTCAGAAGTGGCCCCTCCTTGGAGGCTTCCAATAGTGCTCGTAGAGCAGGCGGGCTTCTCAGGAAACCGCTCCCCTGGCCTCCTCCTCCTCCTCCTCCTCCTCTTCCTCCTCCTCCTCCTCCTCCGAAACGTCGTAAAAAGTCCTGACGTCGTCAAAGACCACGTCCAGGGCCATCAACACCGTCTGTGCACGGCGCTCCCCGAACCAGGCCAGGCCGCGAGAGCCCCAGAACGCGAGCGGGGGAAAATGAGCCCCGTTAGTAGATTTTCCCGCCGCACGTGGTTGTCAGGCCTCCTCCGAGGATCGACCACCAGGACTTTGGTCTTGTACGCGCAGCTGACGGCCCCTGTCCCTTAAGAAAGGAGGACGGAACCCTGTGCGCCGGCACCGTCGACACTAACGGACGCCACGCGATTCGCTGCTCCTATGGCGGCTTCATGGTTAAGAGGCACAACGACCTGCGCGACACCATCGCGCGAGCCCTACGTGAAGCCGGCATCTGCGACGTCGCAGTCGAACCATGGATTCGCCCGCCCACCGGGCCGGGCAATCCGGGTCTCCGCGCGGACCTCAGGTGCACCGAGAGTGACGGCCAGTGGGCTTATCTTGACCTAGCGATCGTGCATCCCGCCTCGCAGCAGAGCCTGCAGGCCGGAGGGGCCCACGCCCAAGGCACCGCTGCGAGATTGGCCGAACAGGCCAAGCGCCGCAAATGTAACGGAGTCGCTGGTTTCCAGCCCCTCGGCTTCGAAGTTTCGGGAGCCATGGGCGAGTCCACCCGGAAATGGCTCGCGCAACAAGTGCTGGAGGGCCCTGGGCGACAGGAGACTCTCAGCACTCTCCGCCAGTGCATCGCCACCTGCGTGGTCCGGGAGGTGGCGCGCACGCTCATCAGCGCTGCCTGAGGTGGTCGTCGGGCCAGCCAGCGCGCCTAACGCAGTGGTTTGGTGGCTCACACCCCTGGACCTGGAACGGGCGGCCTAGCACGACGACGGCGCCGGCGCGAGGACAGCGCTGCTGCAGGAGGACGCACGAGGACAGCGCTAGCACGAGGACAGCACGAGGACAACACTAGCACGAGGACAGCACTAGCACGAGGACAGCACTGGCGCGAGGACAGCACTGGCACGAGGAGGGGAAGGGGCGCCGAGGAGGCGCGCCGAGGAGGAGCGGCGACGCCAAGGAGGAGGAACGCCGAGGAGGAGCGCCGAGGAGGAGCGGCGGGAGAGGGCGGCGGAGGCGGCGGCCGGGAGCGGCGGCGGGGCGGCACCTGCGACGGCGGCGGGCCCCTGCCCCGTGGCGGGCGGACTGGGGGTGGGGGGAGGAACGGCGCCCGGCCCGCGGCGGCAGGCGTGGGCGCGGGCGCGGGCGCGCGCGGCGCGGCACGCGGCGCGCGCGGCCCGCCCCGGGGCCCTCCTCGGACCCGAGGGCCCTGGGGCACGGAGGAAGAGGAGGAGGAGGAAGAAGGGGAAGAGGAAGAGGAAGAGGATGATGGATGGATGATGATGATGATGATGATGATGAGATGATGATGAATGGATGATGAAGAGATGAATGATGATGAAGATGGATGATGATGATGATGATGATGATGATGATGATGATGATGATGGTGATGATGATGATGATGATGATGATGATGATGATGATGATATGATGATGATGATGATGAATGATGATGATGATGATGATGATGCTGATGATGAATGATGATGATGAATGATGATGATGATGATGATGATGATTTATGATTTATGATGATGAGGATGATGAGGATGAGGAAGAGGAGGAGGAGGAGGAGGAGGAGAGAGGAGGAGGAGGAGGAGGAGAGGAGGAGGAGGAGGAGGAGGAGGAGGGAGGAGGAGGAGGAGGAGGAGGAGGAGGAGGAGGAGGAGGAGGAGGGAGGAGGAGGAAGAGAGGAGGAGGAGGAGGAGGAGGAGGAGAGGAGGAGGAGGAGGAGAGGAGGAGGAGGAGGGAGGAGGAGGAGGAGGAGGAGAGGAGGAGGAGGAGGAGGAGGAGGATGAGGAGGAGGAGGAGGAGGAGGAGGAGGAGGAGGAGGAAGAGGAGGAGGGAGGAGGAGGCAGGATGTCGGGTTCGCAGGTTTCCGGCAGTTGTCGGTGGCTCTTGGAGGTTTGCTCGTACGGTAACGTTGTTCTCGGGACGCTTTCGCGCGCCTCCGCAGGACTTCGGGGGTCTCTTCTTACATTTTCGAAGGCTGCTGGAAGATTCTGATAGTTTTCGTCGCGCGATTCTCGGCGTTCTTGGTGCACGCAGGGCGACGCCGCGTCCCGCGGAGAGACCCTGCGGCGGTCAGTAGCAGGGGCAGGAGCGAATGATGATGATGATGATGATGATGATGATGATGATGATGATGGTGGTGGTGGTGGTGGTGGTGGTGGTGATGATGATGATGATGATGATGATGATGATGATGATGATGATGATGATGATGATGATTATGATGATGATGATGATGCTGATGATGATGATGATGATGATGATGATGATGGTAATGATGATGATGATGATGATGATGATGATGATGATGATGCTGCTGCTGCTGATGCGGATGATTATGATGATTATGGTCCTGATCATGATGACGATGCTGATGCTGATGCTGCTGATGATGACGATGCTGATTTTGATGATGATTACGCTTAGGATGATGGCGATGATGTTGACGATACTGATGATGATGGTGATGATGTTGATGGTACTACTGATACTGACGATGACAATAATGCTGCTTGCTGATGCTGCTGTTGATGATGAGGCTGATGATAATGCTGCTGATGATGATGATGACGATGACGATGACGATGATGATGGCGATGGTGATGACGATGATGATGATGCTGCTGATGATGATGAGGATGATAACTATGATGATGATGATGATGATGATGATGATGATGATGATGATGATGATGATGATGATGATGATGATGATGATGATGATGATGGTGTTGATGATGATAAATGGTGATGATGATAATGATGATTATGATGATTTTGATGGCGCTGACGCTGATGCTGATGATGATAATGCTCATGATGTTGCTGCTGATGCTGCTGTTGATGATGATGATGATGAACATGATGATGCCACCGTCATCCTCATCAGCAGTACTTCAACGCACGCTCGCACAATTACGCGCTCACGCGCTCGCGCATTCACGCACGCATGCATTTGTACAGAGGAAATATCCAGTGGGGGCCGCGTCTGTGGTTGAATTGTGAGAAAGCCTCAGGCGGGACCCACCCTCGTTTGCTGCGCGCGCTTCATATGTTTAACCTGAGGCGGCCATCGGAATACCTGTACCACATTTTTTGATGGCCGAATCGCCACTGCTCCAGGAGTTCAAAGAAATGTCCACTTGACAACCTCGATCCTCGACCCACGACCTTCCCTCCTGGCGACGGTCTCCATCCAAGGTGGCCGCCCCGTGGCAGCTGACGTGGCCCGCTCCCCGCGCGAGCTCAATGGCGCCGGCTTCGTTCCTGGACGCCGCTGCGAGGCCGACGGGGGCCCTTATTCTCCCCCCTTCTCCTCCTCCTCCTTGCGGGAGGACTCCTCTCCTCCCCCTCATCTCCTCCTCCTCTTCTCCTCCTCCTCCTCCTCCTCCTCCTCTCCTCCTCCTCCTCCTCCTCTCCTCCTCCTCTTCCTCCTCCTCTTCCTCCTCTCCTCTTCTCTCCCCCTCCTTTCCTCCTCCTCGTCCTACTCTCTTCCTCCTCTCCTCCTCCTTCTCCTCCTCCTCCTTCCTCCTCTCCCTCCTCTTCCTCCTCCTCTTCCTCCTCTCCCTCCTGTCCTCCTCTTCCTCCTTTTCGTCTTCCTTCGGAGGACTCCTCTTCTGCCAGCTCGTGCTCGCTTCACTGCCTCGCGGGATGCTCGGCTGTAGGCCGTGCTCAGATGCGTCAGTGGGTACACCATTCATAGCTCTTTGGATGGGCGCTTCTCCTCCTCATCGAATTCCAGTTTAGCTTTCCTCCATTTTCATTTTGGCTTAGGATGCGCGCCCCCCGTGTCGACCTCACGGATACCGCCGATGCGTGGCCAGCCCTATGTTTTCTAGACGCTTTACGCAATCCCACCAGCCCGTCCAGAAACGATGCCCATGCGGGTTGCTTTGATTAGGGAAGTTGAGGAGCATGCATTGGACAAAAAGGGCTTGGGACGCCGTCATACCCCATGAGGGGGTGGAGGAGGACTGTGACAATCCTAGATCGTTGCAGACAGCCTTTCCTGGGACAAATTTTGAAAACGGCCCGCCCTCCATCCTCCAAGCTGTTGCCACGTGCACGCTTCAGGATCTTACAATGTGAGGAAGCCTCAGGCGAAATGCCAGGCCCGCCCTGATTACCGACGCGTCTGGGGTTGCGACAGTGAGGGGTTCTTTATGACGAGAGGGATGGAGGAGGAGGAGGAGGAGGAGGAGGAGGAGGAGGAGGAGGAGGAGGAGGAGGAGGCTGAGGAGGAGGAGGAGGAGGAGGAGGAGAAGAAGGAGGAGGAGGAGGAGGAGGACGAGAAGCAAGAGGGACAGGAGGGGGGGCAGCAGAAAGGCCACAGGCCGGTTGGATGCTTCTCGGAGTCTCTTCGGATAGTGCTTGAGAGCTTCTTGGAGTCCGCTTTGGGCGTCTTGGGGGCCTCTTGGCGGTTCATGGGGCCTCTTGGAGTGTCTTGGGTGCCTCGGCGAGGCCTCTTGGGGCCTCTTCGGGGGTCTATGGGGAGCCATGCAAGTGGGCGGCAACGAGGCGGCAACGGGCGGCGACGCGGTGAAACCTCGACTGATCCATCCAGGTCGGCGGCAACGGGGAGGCAACGGGCGGCGACGTGGCGCAACCTCGACGGACCCCTCACATGGGCGGCGGCGAGGTTGCAACAAGGTGGCAGTGGGCGGCGACGCGGCGAAACCTCTGAGGACCCATCCACATGGGCGGCAACGATGCGACAACCGGGCGGCAACGGGCGGCGACGCGGCGTCACCTTCATGGATCCCCCAAGGGGGCGGTAACGAGGCGGCCACGGGGCGGCGACACAGCGAGACCTCCACGGACCGCCCGAGGCGGCGGCAACGAGGCGGCAACGAGCGGCGACGCGCTGAAACATCGGCGACCCATGCAAGTGTGCGGCAATGAGGCGGCAGCGAGGCGGCACCGTGCGGCGACGCAGCGTCGCATTCACGGACCCCCCAAGTGGGTGGCAATGAGGCGGCCCCCAAGTGGGTGGCAATGAGGCGGCAACGAGGCGGCAACGGGCCCGGCGGCGACGCGGCGACACCTCGACGGATCCCCAAGGTGGGCGGCAACGAGGCGCCAAGGTGCGCCGAAGCGGCGAAACCTCGGCTGACCCATGCAAGTTGGCGGCAGCGATGCGATCGCGAGGCGGCATCGGGCGGTGACGCGGCGACACCTTCACGGACCCCCAAGTGGACGGCAACGAAGTGGCAACGAGGCGGCCACGGGCGGCGACGCGGTGAAACCTCGACGAACCAATCCCAATGGGCGGCAACGAGGCGACAACGAGGCGGCCACGGGCGGCGACGCGGCGCAACCTCGACGGGCACCCCAAGTGGGCGGCAACGAGGCGGCAACCGGTGGCGACGCGGCGAAACCTGCACGGATTCCCCAAGGTGGCGGCAACGAGGCGGCAACGGGCGGCGACGTGGCGACACCGTCAGCCCCCCCAAAGTGGGCGGCAACGAGGCGGCCACGGGCCGAGACGCAGCGACGCCTCGGTGGATCCATCCCATTCTTTAGTAAGACAGGTAAGAACTCCAAGGTCAAACCCTGTTTGGGGGAATAGGCTTCTCCAGGTGGTAGTGGTGGCGGTGGTAGTGGTGATGGTGGTGGTGATTGATGATGGTTATGGTGATGCTGCCGCGGATGATCACGATGACGATGCCGATGGCGATGGTGCTGACGCTGATGATGCTGCTGTTGCTGCTGCTGCTGCTGCGGATGATGACGACGACGCTGCTGCTGCTGCTGATTATGCTGCTGCTGCTGATGATGATGACGATGATGATGATGATGATGATGATGATGATGATGATGATGATGATGATGATGTTGATGATAATGATTA